GTTATCTTATGATAAGAGATCTACTGAAGTCAGCTTTGTACCAGGAGACAAGGTGTGGTTGTAAAATCCCAGGAAGACCAAAGGGAAGTCTCCTAAGTTATCTTCTCCATGGGAAGGCCCGTATGACATAATGGATCGTCTGTCAGACGTGACTTTCCGAATAAAATCTAGTCGGCGAGGTAAGCCAAATTTGGTGCACGCCAACAGGCTTTGGCATTATCATGGTCCAGGACATTTCAGTTGGAACAAAGTGAACAACGGAACAAATGATGCTGCTGAAGACGTGTCACCTGAAAAAGCCATTGTCGAAGAAGAAACTCTACCCGGTTTTGAGAAGGAAAACAGTGAAGCCGTTAATGAAGTTACTACCACTGATGTGATTGTCACCGATAATGGGACATTTCCTGGTGGAGCAGATGAACCCCACGTGAAACAGAAGCCAATGAGACGGAGACCAGTAGGGAAGAAGATACGACCTGTGAAATTAAGAGACTTTGTTGTATTTTAATTTTGTGTTTGTAAATTCTGTACATTTAATTAAGTTATTGTTAATTATATATTGGTTTAATGTAAGTGGCTATTGTTTGGGACAAAGAATACTAAGGAAGGGGGAGTGTTACGACAGCGGAAGTCACGCAACGCTGGGAGCATGCGCGCTGGAGTTTGTCGAAGGATCATGAATTATCGAGGAACCCCGCGAATGTCCGAGTGTTCGCCAGGCGCCCTTTTTTTTAGTATATAAGCCCGGCAAATAAAGCCAGCGATAGATAGATATGCAGATAGATTGAAGATATAGATAATTGAGTCGAGCGAACAGTAGGCACGGGAAGTAAAGTGTGTGAATCACTGTGATTTATAGCGTGTGTTATAAAGGTTGTTAAGTTTAACGTACTGATTGGAAATTCTGTGTATTACAAAGTTGTATCGAGGGAAAAATAAACTGGTTTAATTAAGAAAGGACTTGTATCGCTGAAGTTCTTCGGAAAGAATTTATACCGGAAATTAACAAACAAGCAGATATGTAACAATATAATAATATAGTGGATATGACAGACATAGTGTAGTTGATATACTGTTATAAACTACTTTTCGTATTGAAATAATCCTAAGGGACTGAATATTAAATACGGTGTGTAAAACATAATAGGTGTTATAGTAATGTCTTAAGTTTTTGACAAGAATAATTATTTATTATAATGTTTCTCGAGCTTAGAAAAGGCGTTTACACCATAACAGTAGTAACACACACTTTGCCTGTTAACCGAAAATAACATGGAACTCCTAATTTATCTTTAAATGTTTCAGTAATACCATAGGTGATAAATAACCTATGATTATTAGACATACCACCTCTAGGGATACATGGGATATTCTCACTATAAATTCTATTTTATTGCGTAACTGAAATATACTATAATATTTGTATCATAAAACTCCCGAAAAAGCCTAAGACGAAATGTAAAGTTATAATATAAATAATATTCTGAAAATAGAGGTCGCTTTTTATATCTTTTAAGAGTTTGTTTATTGTAGTTTTATGTACTAAATGTATTATAATTTTGTTTTGTATGGAGTGATTGTAATTTTTTGCATTATGCTGTCATTTTGCGATTCACAGCGATCTTAAAAGCGATTATAGCACCAGGAAAACACATATTCTTATACATAAATAAAATTATGATACGAAGACACTATTGAGTGTGAATAATAAGAGTTGGGACTGAAGAGTAAGGAAGGAGTATTTTGTTTGACTCTGATAGTAGGCTACGTTAGACTTGTTTGGAGGTAATTTAAATAAATAATAGTATTAATAGCATGTACTGATAGTATTTGTAATACCAGTATTCTATAGACTATAGTACTAGCTACTCTACTCTCTAAATCTACTACTACTACTAATATTATAGTAGTAACTAGTAGTATTAGCAAGAACATTAACACTTTACTTTTGACGTTTAAATTTTACTTGTCTTACATAGTAACTTTTTAGTTTAGACTAGTTCAGTAGTTGTAATTTGTACATTTCATATTCCTTGAATTTGAAATCAAATAACAATACTTGTTTTTTGACATCTTATGTGTTACTATTCCCAGTTAAATTTATATTTTATCCCTGTGAAAGTTTTCATCAGCTTGTGATACCAACGTTAATCATTTAAACTTCGAATTAATTACATAATGAAATATATAGAATATTAGAAAATTATAATCCAATTTAGGTAAACTATGTAAAATTGTAGTTCACAATAGCTCTGTAGTTTTGAGAACTCTAAATATAATAAATTATGATGTTTTCATTTCCTATAGTTTTGCTATGTTTTTGATGTATTGTTTAACTTTTTTTGGATGATGGCATCTGCTTTATTATTAAGTTTATATTGTAGGTCCTTACTTTCCAGAAATCTTTTGATAAGGTGATTTACTAGAGATAGTATGTTGGATACTCATGGAACTGGTGGAAAAACTTTAAAAGAAGATAAAAAATTAGCTAGGTTTTTTAGCCAATGATATTGAAATGTTGGGAATATTTAATTCTGTTGAAAATACTTCTCTTAACCTAAAGGCTAAAGACCTTTACAGTATTACTATTAGTTAAAGCATTACAACATGTTGAAAAAAAAAGTGTGCAAAAAGTGAACTACATGAATGATACCTAGTTTAAATCATCAGTTTGGAGAGGTGTAAAGTTTAGACATGTTTTATTTGGAGCAAAAAAATGGGATCAGGTGATTTAGGTTTTTAAAGTTGTTCGTAGTTTGTACAGTGTTGTTATTACTTATCTGTTTGATGGGCAGAATAAAAATATTGTAAATACAAAGTTAAATATTAAGTGTAATAACTGAAGCTTTAGAATGTCAACTAGCATAAAACATGCAGACAATACAGAACCATTTGGCTTTTCAAGGCTGTCCTTGCATACACAACCCTGAGAAAAGTAAAAAGTTAAACCTGCCTTTTATTTTTCAAGAAGTCATTGCTTATGGCAACACATTCTACAAGTCAGTTACCCTGTTAGAAAATAAGACTGTCATATTTGGAGCCTAGCATGTCTTTTTCCAAACTTGTGTCTACATATCCATTTGTCTTCAGAATACAGCACAAAGAAATCAGAGGTTTTTATCGTGCTAACATCTTTGATAATCTAGTAAACTTTATTCTTCAATGATACATGTATCTCTTACCTTTCTTTTTAAAGGAGAAAATAAATTACAAGGTGTTAACTTATCCTTATAAGATACATCTTCCATCCCAACAAACATCCTAGTACTGAAGTAAACTTAATTTGAACCTTTTACAATATGTCACTATTGTTTCTTAGACCAAATCTCTAGTTTAAACAGTATTCCAAGTGAGGCTTTACTAAGGATTTGTTTAAAGATAATTACATCTTCTTGACTTGTAATCAGTATATCTATTTATAGATTCTTATAGCTTAACCTGCTTGCAACAGAGCACTGCCTTGATGGCTTGAGTGACCTGCCACTACTATATTAAGATCCTTTTCTTTAGTTCTGCTACTGGCTTGATTCACATTCGTACTAACCTTCTGATTCAAATTATGATAATCCAAACTATTACCTCCACTTCTTATAACATAGGGTATTTGCTAAATATTTGTTCAACTTAATAATTGCACAAAATCATTCTGTAATACTTCTTCATCTTCAATACAGCTAGAAATACCCAGGAATTTAAGGTCATTGGTAAGCTTTTACTAATTGTGCCCCTATCAGTATCTTTAACGTAAATAAGAAAAAGTAAATGTCCAAGTATAAGTACATTATGGATTGTTGCAAAATATAATACGTTATTTTCAAATGAATATTTAGGATGTACATGTACTTTAGCTTGGTGGAATGTCCAATAGGCTTATAGGTGCACTGCACTGGCCTTGTTTTTAAAGAAACAGCAAAATTTAAACATACACAATGTTCAGATAGAATACTACATACTTTCATACTATCACTGATATTTCACCGTTAAAATATTCACTGTTGTTCTATGAATTTTATATGACACTTTCTAAAACATGTATTAACACTTAAAGTATAAGAAATTCACCGAAAATTTTAATATCTTATTGTACTTTAAGTTTACAAGTTAATATGCTCTCTTCCCATCCTAGGTATAAGTATTGAAGTTGTAGCTTTAGGGGGATAGATTCATATTTAACTTTTTTTATCTACCAACTAACATAGAGACATGGGGAATCAGCTAGCTGGAATTGCCCCATCACAGATCTTTCCAGTGGAACATTATTTAACAGACCTGCCAGATATTCACTATGATTACAAGTAAGTAATGTTTATAAGCGTATTTTTACAGCAATTCTTTGGTTTGTTGTTGTTTTTTACTGCATATTAACATTCATATTTAAAAATTACCTGGAATGCTTTAGCTTTTTAATTATTATAAGTTTCAGTTCTAGAATCACTGCATAAGTAAGTATTTCTTCTTAATTTCCAGTCTGTGAGTTGATGAGACCAAAGTTATAAAGTTTGTAGCTGTGAAACTTATTTACTAAACTGGATTAAGTTTTACTTTAATGTGTCTGAGAGTTATGTTGTAAAATGACTATAATATAATAGATCCAAGTTGTTTCGGTATTTTACGCAGACAAATCTTCATTGTCCATCCTTCTTTCGATGCACTTGTATGTCAAATACAGGGAATTTTAATTTGGAGTAACTATATAACTAAAGGTACTATTAAAATTATAAAGAAATAAAACTTGTGCAGTATGCAAATAATAAAAGCAACATTCTTGATAGTTTAATAGATTCTTTAATGTATGAATAGTTTAAATTGGTTTACTCAGACTTTAATTAGAATACTTAATGTATAAGTAAGTTTGTAACAAGTTATGTGGCTTATTGAACTGTATTACTGTAGAAGTCTTTGGCCATCTAACTAGAGCTTTCAGTGAGCACCTGTGCAGTGAACAGTACTTGACTTATTCCTTCATGGTGTAATTTGAGACAGGTAGAACACATCTGCCTTAATTATGCTTCTTGTTGCAAGAGTTTGGCTCTTGAGTCCTCAAAGATTTTCGAACAACCATAAAAGCAACAACCCAAGTTTAGTGTATATACAATACACATTCTGTGAATACTTACAAAGTAATAATATTTTGTAGCATGTGTTAACAATCTACTTCAAAACAGTGTACTTTTCATGTCATACATGTTAAAAGAACATGTAAAACCTTTCGTACACTAGTTTTTCAAGATAACAAAAATATAAAGGTCTCATGAATGGAATTCTTCCAAATGTGACTGTTACCAGTGCAGTAGTTTGGCTGATGATGTGTTGTGTGGGGTAATAGTTTAAATTTTTTGTGTGTGTTTGTATTTAGTTTTGTTAGTATACTGTTTGAAAACCAGTAACAACTGTGATGGTTGTATAGCTTTTTGGTTTTTACTTGTTAATATTTTTTGCAGTATCTGTATGTAACAAAATTATATGTATCACAAGTTGTAGGTAGTTTAGGGTTTTTGGTTTTAAAATTTATCATAAAGAAATCTTTATAAGCATAATTCAATCTTTATAAGCATAATTCAGTTTGTGTTTAGGTTATGCATTTGTATTTCATACTTGTGCTTTGATATTTACAAAGAGTATATACATGACTTAAATGTTTGCTTGTATATTTTAAGCTAACTTAGTATAATGTTTTTATTATGCAAGCTTTCTGTCTCATTCATTGGCAATGGACAGTTTATTCTAATGCTTGATAAATCAGTTTAATATACCTTGATTCTTGATAATGACAGTTGAAAATACCCTAATTTTTGATAAGGACAGTTAAAAATACCCTGATTTTTGATAAGGACAGCTCAAAAAAACCTTGATTTTTGATAAGGACAGTTAAAAATACCATGATTTTTGATAAGGACAGTTGAAAAAACCTTGATTTTTGATAAGGACAGTTGAAAATACCCTGTATCTTGATAAGGACAGTTGAAAATATCCTGATTATTGAAAAGGACAGTTGAAAATATCCTGATTATTGAAAAGGGCAGTTGAAAATACCCTGATTATTGAAAAGGGCAGTTGAAAATATCTAGACATTTGTTAAAGACAGCCGAAATATCCTAATGATTGATTAGGTTAGATGAAAATAACCTAACACTTGATAAGGACAGTTGAAAATAACCTGACACTTGATAAAGACAGTTGAAAATAACC